TCTACATATACATATATGTACGTACATATATGCATATATATATACATATATGCATACATGCATATATATAAAAATTATTTAAAATTTTATTTTTTGAAAAAAAAAACCGGGTAATTTTTCAACGATTTTACAGCACTGCATGCTGCTTTCAACCGCTATCAATTTTTTGCACTTCTAATCAATTGCTACCACTTCTTTGCGCTTTACGTCAATTTCACTATAGTTCCTCATAAATCCACAGACGCTTTTCGATCCATCAGTCAGTTAAACAGAAATCCAGAAGTTATCGTGCATCTGTCAAACACAAAAGTATAATATAAACGCTGGATCACTTGGATGCAAACCATGGCGTAACCTCATTCAATGGAGAACGAACACAGCCAAAACTGAGCAAGTACATCTATTGCAAAACTTCACACTCTGAAGCATCCAGCTACTCGGCCTTCCCGTGATTGCCGCTTTACCGGTCGCCCGAGACGGTATTTGCGCAAGAATTCAATATCGAATGTTTCAGGTGAATGAGGTGGGCACAGAAGCAGCAGCGACAACAATGGTCGGCATGGCCTTTATAGAATCTGAATTATTCGAACCACAGCTAAAACGCTTCATCGCTGACCATCCGTTCCTTTACGCCATTCTCCTTCACCAAAAAACACTGCTTTTTATTGGACGAATGATCTGAACTGCAAAATCATCGCCATTCTTTCTCTTTTTCTCTAAAGCTTATGTTTCTGGATTTGTTTGTCAGCCTCGAGCGAAAAAAGGGAGGGGGAAATTCAGCTCACATAAAATTTTTATTTTACAAAGAAAAATGTAGGCATTTTTTGCAAGCATGATTGTTTTCCCACAGCATTTTGACTTTTTAATTACTTGTGCATGTATTTGTACGATATTTTCGCTTCCTTGCATGTGAATACTTTAAATTCTAATAAGAAGTAGTTCATGATCTGTTTCTCCAAATACATAGCTATCAACTTTTCTAGTTTCTGTGTTCAGTGCTATTTTAATATAAGATTGAATGAGAATTGATAATTTATTTACTAATATAAAACGCTGCTAATACAGAACTGTTCTACAAACATGAAACGGCCTGCGCTAAGAATGGTTGTGCCCACTTACCAACGTTCTAGACAACTAGTAACCTTTTTGGCTGCTTTTAATTTATCAATCAGTTCGCTTATAATACGGCTCTTTGGTGAATCGGTACTTTTAGGACGTCGATTTCTGGAACGGCATTCTCGCGAAAGCTCCAGTTTTGCAAGTCAAATAGCGAGACACAACAGTTTGAAAAAATATTATTCATAAGGAAATTTAAAATTAGTGTCATAAAAAGCGCATGCCAAAATTACCAGTACTACTTTATATAATCATTGCAGCAGTCCTCGTTAATGGAGTGCTCCTAGATGCCGGACCCGGCTTGCTTCCAACCAGTACTTATCTGGCTTTCTAACTAATTAACTGTGAACTCAGTTAAAAACTGCATTATATAATTTCATAAGTAAAAAAGTTCTAAGATTTAACAAATCGATGCCTTTTACCTACCGATATTAAGAACTGCGCTCATTTCCTAGTTGAAACTGGCTACTCCTCATTCTGCATAAACAATGCTTGCGTTCGTCGTAGAATGAAGTGCGATCTGCGAAGAATTTCCTGTATGGCCTTATACTGATAAGAAAGCCAATGGATAGTTCTCAATCAAAAATCATAAATCGAAACCTGTCCGTTTCCCATCAAAAGACACATCTCATGCGATTCACGTAAAACAAGTTTAATCCTCAGTTCTCCTTCAGTGTCGTATATATACTGCACGAGTGGCAGCGGTACTTTGAGATATCAACAATCCGTAATCAGTTAATCAGATTTGCACCAGGAATAATGACTATGTATCGTCAATAACACTTGAGTACTTATGTATGCAATTACCGCAACCCTAAAGCTGCTCAGTAAAGCTGGTCAGTGGTCACAAGCACAGCTCTTCGAGAGCCAACTCATCATGATATTTACGGAAGCGTCAAATTTTCTGGCCTTATCTACTGAGCTGCTTCCTTCAAGAGACGAAAAGAACTTAGGAAAGTCAGAAATCTAACTAATACGCAATGCAGCACTGGTCAGAACAACCGTAAAATAAAGAAAGAAAATGGCATAGTTGCTGGACACTACTGATGAATTAGCAACTGTTTTAATTACTGAGTGTGTACTGTTTTAAGTACCGAGTGTATTAACCACCCGACAAATTGAAGTACCTATCCCTAAATATTTCAGGTGAATGAAGAGGGCACGGAAGCAGTGGCGGCAACAGCGGTCCG